CTGGGAAGGCTGTCCACAAGGTTTAGGAGTGTGTCTATGGGAATGTTTGACCATTCTTCTAGAAGCGTATTCATGAGGTCAGGCACGGTCTCCACTCCAATTTATCCCAAAGGTGTTCTGTCAGGCTGAGGTCAGGACTCTGTGCAGGCCAGTCAAGTTCCTCCACCCTAAACTCGCTCTTCCCTGGAAGCTGGAGAACCTCTTGCCTAAAACCTAAAAGAAGCAGTGGCCAAAAGATAAGCCCTGATGACCCTCACCACATCTAGACAACAGAGGGAGATCTTTTTGGGTAAACCTGTGTCTGACACAAAGAAGGTAATACAATATCCTCATTAAAGTGATATTACTGGCACAAAAAAAAAAAAAAAAAAAAAACAAGCATGTTATACTTACCTGCTCTGTTCAGAGGTTTTGCACAGAGCAGCCCTGTTCTTCCTTTTCTTGGGTCCCCCACTGGTGCTCCTGGCCCCTCCCTCCTTGTGTCCCCAAGCAGGCCACTGCTGTGTGTGCCACATTCTCTCTTCTCATTTGTTCACTGGCTGTGATTGACATTTATTTTCTAATTTTTTATATTTATTACAGGTACAGATATAGTGCTGTCAATTTACACAGCAATTTACATATATATTGTACATTCACATCAGTCCCTAACCCTCAAGGGGAATACAGTCTAAGGCCCCTAACTAACATTCATACATACACATACTAGGGCCAATTTAGATAGGATCCAGTTAACCTACCAGCATGTCTTTGGAGTGTGGAAGGAAACCGAGGTAACCGGAAGAAACTCACACGGGCACAGGGAGAACATGCAAATTCCCAGGCAGGTGGATGGGATTTAAACCAACGACCCTAGTACTGCCAGGTGGAAGTGCTAACCATTTAGCCACTGTGCTGCCCCACATTAGACATCAGCCAAGGCTCTCATGCACATCGCTGGACCGCCATGGGGCTCAGGTAAGTATTAGGGAAGGTTTGGGAGGAAACTGGAGTACCCGGAGGAAACCCATGCAGGCACAAACCATAGCTTGTAGATGTTATAACTAATAAATTAATATACATTTATGGGGATTTTTTTTTACCAAAGACATAGCAGAATACATTTTGGCCTAAATTTATGAAGACATTTTATTTTTTGACTTTTTTTTATATGTTTTGTAACAGAAAGTAGAAAATATTGTGGGTTTTTTTGTTTGTTTTTCAAACTTTAATTTTTTTTTTTGTTTATATAATAAAAAAAAATAAAAACCTAGTGGTGATCAAATGCCACCAAATGAAAGCTTTATTTTTGTGAAAAAAAGTTATATAAATTCCATTTGGGTATGGTGTTGCATGACCAAGCAATTGCCAGTTAAAGTAGCTCAGTGCTGAATAGCAAAAAGCCTCTTGTCATGAAGGGGCTAAAACCTTCCAGAGGTCAAATAGTTAAACATTACCTTTCCTTTTCAATCTGTAGCCCCTGTAATTTTCTTTATGTTTCAATGCAATATGGCAAGCTGGATGTGTTCTGTAAACTGCTAGTGAATGTTACACCCCAAGCAATGTAATTTCTGGTTTGTGTGATTGGCTTACTGATTTTCCCAGAAGTCTGCACAAAGATACAAGTAAACGTTTAGGCATCCTCTGCAACAAAAATTACATAGTGAGATAGTCCCAAAGGGTTAATCATGTCTAAAGTGTTTCAGACCTTGCCGTTTTCCTTAACTGAAACGATTCCCTCATCCACACATTCAGGGTGGATGGGGGAATCCTCCCTGCTGTGCTATTCTATTTTGACAGTGGGAAGACTGCCCGCTATCAGAATAAACATATCAGTACACTGCCACTGATTACATGGCTTTTTTCCAACAGGGGGTTGAATGGAAGTCGATTGGTAGATCGACTTCTTTTAAACTGCCACAAATGGACCAAAATTCGTTTCTCTGCTGAAATGGACAGATTTTGATCCATGTTTGGCCAGCTTGACTCTTAAAGGGGGGGTCAGGGGCCTCCAGGCAATCTATGCCAGACCCTTAATCCGATCATGCTACCTGGCTGACCAGCAAAGGTAGAGGGGTTTTGTGCTCGTGTGCTCCCCCTCGTCCTCTCCCCCAGTATGTGGCAGAAAAATTGTCCATGTTGATGAGGGCAAGGGCCTCAACCCCACAACCCTGGACCAGTGGTTAGCTGGGCTTGCAGGCAAGGAGCTTATCACAATCTGGAGACCTGCTCTAACAATAAGAGGGTGCCCAGATATGGGCCTCCCCCCCTATATGAGAGTTTGGGGTGCATAGTCCCCCCTACTCATTCACAAAAAAATGTAACCTACAAATAGGTCCCAAAATGTCCTTTTTTGCTGTTTATCTTTTGTTTTGACCTACTGTTTGAGGACATCCAGATTTATGAGCAGCTGAAGGCAGAGAACCTGGCCCACCTCTGGGTGACCAGTACGGTATGGGCCCAAAGGGTGCATAGCTGGAAATAGTGGCCACTGAGATCCCAGATCCATGACCTAGTGCAGCTGATCACAAATGGCTGCAACTGGAGATATAGATGGGCCCTCAGATGGTGTGTCAGGCCTTATTGGACTGGTACCTGAGGTCCCTGTGACCTACAGTGCTGAGTGAGCAATGGAGATACCACCACAGCAGACCATCTGGTGGAAATGGTCAAGAGATACACAGCGGTGGAGAACCTGCTTGGGCCTGCCAAGTGCTGGGAACCTACACCAAGGGCAGCAAGCCCACATGCAGCACCTAGGCGTGCAGTGTTGGTGGTACTGGTCCTAAAAACACAGTACCCACTTCAGTAAGAGCCCGTAGAATACGGGACCAACAGGAGAGCATCCTTTTATGTACAAAGGGAGTGTACCACAGTTCTTGACCTTGCTGAGGCTTGGTTATGGGTGAACCACTCCCCCTGCCAAGGCCTTGCTGGACTCCGGTAGTATGGTCACACTTGAACACTTGTGGATGATCTGGATAATCAGCTCAGTAGGTAAGACTCTCTGGGTTGTATGTATCCATGGACACACTAAGGAGTATCCCCTGGTCCCAGTAACCATTTCCTTTGGCTGTGCCTCTGTTACAAGAGGTTGAGGTGGTGAAGAATTTGATGCACAATGTTATACTGGACCAGGACTGTCCATTGTTTCTTGAACTATGGGGACAGGTACAGAATTAACTTCCTGGAGAGTTCAGTGATCTGGAGACCATGGGCCTTTCTGGTCCCAATTTTGAGAGGTCTGGCCCAGAGCCACCCACAGCAAAACCCACTAATAACTGATGTTCATACTGATGGCTGTAACACGGTAAATAGTGTTGTTGATGTTCCAGGTCTCCAGACTGTGTTGACCAGGGGGGGTCGTCCATTTCAATGTAGGCCATGGTTGGGGAGGACATAAAGGAAACTTCCCCATTACAGGTCAAGGGTGATGGAGTAATTTCCTCTAGTCCAGTGCATGTTGATTTGTATGTGTGATATATCTCAGTTTAGCTTTGGGACCCACATTATAGTGGGCTGAAATAATGTTTATTTCCCTGTTTTCTGCATTTCTAAGTTGTATACATTAAAATTAATTGGGTTATTTCACATGGAATTGTTTGTACGCCACTACAAGAATTGATTTGTCATATGACCCCATGTGGGAATTGGAGTGGATGGGTTGCATTTTATGCCTAGATGGGTGATGTATTGTGTATACCATGTTAACCATTTATTTTTATATATATGGCCTTATGCTGAATTTGTAATAAAAGTATATGTTTTATGTATTTTGGCTATACTTTTGTGCCTTAAAAGTCCCAACCAAAAATGTTCCCTATTCTCTAGGTGCAGAGATGTTGGCACAATGCAGTATGTTAGCACATTTTGGACTGATTGTGTAACCCCATAAGGAACTTGTTATCGGCTGAAGAACCAGGATCATCAACACCTATCATGGGTTCACTATGTGTGTTTGAAGAAGATTCCGGTTCTTCTCAAGACTTTAAGGAATTGCCCACAGTGGAGGGAGGGGGAAGCAGGAAGAAGGGGATAAAGCAGAAGACAAACTATTTTCACATAATATTCTACAAAGCCAACCGCGCAGATTAGATTAAAAAATGAGAAAATCCAGTTTATACAAAAGACATTCTCTGAACATGCCAATGCTCAAGGATTTCACATCATACTTACAGGACAATTTGGGTACAGAGAACTATAAACAGAAGGATGTGGATGTGACCAGGCCAACTACTTGTATTTAGAGAAGTGACAGCAGAAAAAATACCGAGTGGTCCATTGAGGCTGCCCAAATGAACACACACTCAATAAGTAAGCATACACTCTTCGCTTGATTGCTGCAATCACTTTATTAGCTGGTTAAGCAGACATGGCACGTGTACATTGCTACAAGGCATATGGGTAGTGTCCCAACCAGTACAAAGAGGCAAGGATTGTATAGCACCAAAGTCGCTTTACAGCTATCATATCTTTAACAATGTTTTTGTCTTGAGCAGCAGTTAGAGCTCAAAACTGACCAGCAAGCTTGACATTCAAGTGTATTTCAACAAAGGGGACAGGAAAGGCCAGCATAGGTAAATAATACTGCTAATCACAGAAGAACCTGCTATGTTTGTAGAATTTAACAAGACAAATGATTACCTTTTACCTAGTACATATGCCAGTGAATATCACTCCACACATATCAATATATATAGACTGATCAAATGGTTGGTTACTTCACTATGATGGTACAATGCTCCTAGGTAATATACTGAATGTGAAAACATTACATTTTTGCACAAACATTTAGAAGGCATAATAGGAATAGAAAATAGGTAACATCACAGTCTGGGACACAGGCACTTAAGAGGTGGTTTACCATGATGTAAGTGGATATTGATAAACCGGAACCGTGTACGTAACATACTCAAACCAAAATAAAGTCACTCAAATAGCTCAGGCCGCTCCTTGGTCTCTAGGCTTAGGGTATTTAGAGGTGTTAGGACCTTTCTTCTCTTCGGCTGACAAGTAGCAGTTCACTTCTCCCCTTCTGTTGGTTGCTCCTTCCTGGATTCAGTCACCACCTGCTGTATTCAAAAGTGGATAAGGTAAAGAAGCAGTACTACAAAAATCACACATCAGCTTAGTAAGTTCACTACCTAGATACCAATTGCACCCATTTTGTTTTAAAATCATTTGGTGAACTGTAAGTGCTCTTCAAGAGACATCATTCAGGAAGTCCGCTGGGTGTACCTTAATGCAATTGTGATATCAATTAATAGCGTAACAAGAACCTTCAGGGCCCCAGTGCAAGAAACTATGAAGGGCCCCCCTGAACCACTGCTAGGGCCCTTTCCTTCAAGCCTGGTGCCGGAATGCCAGTGTACGGTCGCAAGTGCAATCTTTGTGACCCTGGTAGTTCCGCCCCTGGAGTCAGTAGAGTTTTTTGTTTTTGCTATTTTATTTTTTCATTCTTTCTTAAAAAATTTTTTTTCTTTTACAATATTATTTTAAAAAAAAATTTTAGGGGTCCCATTGGGGAGCTTTAGTGAGATATCAGGGGTCTAAACAGACCTTTGATGTTCCACATTTGGGATATAAAGAAACAGCCCTCATTCTCCTTCTCTGCATCCTCAGCTGCACAGAATGAATGGACAGGAATAGCTCTGTACAGAGCTCCCTGTCCATTCATGAACTGAAGCATGGTAAACACAGTTTCAAATGTTTCAGTTATGAATAGAGAGAGTCAGTGATTGGTACCGATCCATTCAGAAAAGGAAGGGGACAAAAATTACACATTTACCTGCCCCTTCCCCACTCCCCATCCTGACAGATCCACCGCAGCAGCCGGTGGGAGTGGGTAACCCGGCAGAGCTGGGGGGGGAGGAGGGGTTGCTGGAGAGCACATGGGGGATCGAGGAGCACGGAGGTGGAGAGCACAGAGGGGGGCCAAGGAGCACAGGAGGGGAAGTAGAAAGAAGCTGATAGGAGGAGCAGCGAGGGCGGTTGAATATAGAGGAATTAATATCTTCATTAGCCTCCTGCAGCCACTGAATGCCTGCAGGAGGGAGAGGAGAAGCGGGTATTCAGCAGCTGTAAGAGGAAAATGGAGAGATCAATTCCTCTATATGCAGCTGCCCCTGCTGCTACTCTTATCCTGGTGTACAGGGGGGCCACATGGGCCCCCTGCAGCAAGGGTCTGGTTCACAACTGAGACCCCTGTAGGTCACCTCTGTATCAAAACAATTGTTCAAATTTCTAATCATTATTTTTAATCAAAATTCAAAGAATATTTTTCTATAACCAATTTCTCTAATAGTGAATGCGGTTTTCATGATGTAAAGTCCATGTGTTCCAAAACCAAATTGTGAAAGCAAAGAAAAATTTTAAGTACTTTTGAGCAACACTTGTCAAGTCATTGAATGTATGGATTATAATTTTAATATGAATGTTCGTACAAATATTCATTTGAAAATGCTTTAAGGTTCCAAAATAAATCTTGTTAATGCTATGTAACCCTTCAAAATTTTCAGCAGTCCCCTAAAGTGTAAAGTGAAAACTTAGCAACCAACACCTTAATGATCAACTCACCTCACAGAACAAAATTCAAAAAACTTGGATCAGACCTATAAATATTATACCATCACTAAATCATCATAGACAATTAGCAATTACAGCAATCTGAATGAAAAATGTGGAAAAAAGACAAATCAAAGTAAAGAATATTCCATTTTGAATATACTATTAAAAACAGTATTCATTAATATTGTTTGAAAAGCACAAACAATGTAAGAGAATACACAGATTAGGGTGTACTCCCCGGATTTCTCCCCGGAGTCCATATTCACAGTGGTCCCATATAAACGTAAAGCAGGGGTTTCCAAACTTTCAAAATAAAGGCCCAGTTTACTGACCATCAAACTTTAAAGGGGCCGGAATGTGGTCAGTGGGAGTAAAAAAAAATTACCCTATCGCTGGTATCAATGGGAGGTATAGTGCCCTGTCGCTGGTGTTGATGGGAGGTATAGAGCCTTATCGCTGGTGTCGATGGGAAGTATAGTGCCCCATTGTTGGTGCCATTGGGAAGTATAGTGCCCTATCATTGGTGTCAGTGGGAGGTATAGTACCCCATCATTGGTGTCCATGGGAGGTATAGTACCCCATTGTTGGTATCAGTGGAAGGAATAGTGTCCCTTACTTGGTCTCAGTGGAAAATTAGTTCCCCATCTCTAATGTTAGTGGAAGGAATAGTGTCCCTCATTGGGATTAGTGGCAGGAGTAATGCCTCGCATCAGTGGAAGGAATAGTGCCCCAAGGGCCGGATAAAGGCAAGCAAAGGGCCACATTTGGCCTATAGGCCACAGTTTAGAGACCCCTGATGTAAAGGATATGTTCACCTTTCTGAACATTGTACTTGTTACACTCTATTTAGAGTGTAACATGTTTAGAATTCACCACCTCACCCCTGACCCCCCCCCCCCCTTTTCCCTGGGACTTCTCCCTGCATCTGCTGTCACAATTTGAAAACAGTGTGGCCCATCAAGGCTCCGCCCACACATCCATGTCATTCATTCACAGAGTTCTGTGAAGGAACTACAACTACCATCAGCCATTGTAGCTGACGGCTTGTAGTTCTCAATGAACTAGGAGTGCACTGGTGAGCACCCTTGTAGTTGATTGATCTTCCTGAACTTCAGTAACTGCCTGCCTGTATCAGAGGTACGGGCAGACTGTTATAGTGGCAGTCTGCAAGAGTCTAACATAATCTGCTGATTGTGGGTGCAATGCTTTACAGTCTCCTAACAAAAATAATCAATGCACATTTTTTTTTTACATGCACAAAAAGTGCATTTATTAATTTTTAGGGGAGTAAAGTCCCCAAATCTTCCAAACTAACTTAAAGAAAGAGCATGAAGTAAAAACCATAAAAACTTCACTGAATTCCAATTAAAACACACTAAAATCTCTCAGTAAAAACGCAGTGTGAACTTAGATAAATCACAAATGTTTCGGGAAATCTCTACCTGTCTATACTATAGATCTGGCCAGCCACTATTGCTTGCTGGGTTAGGCAGATCCAGGATAGAATATCACTTATAGCGGAGTTCCACTCACCCTGTCAAAAAATAAAAGTCAGCAGCTACAAAAACTGTAGCTGCTGACTTTTAAAAAAACAGCCACTTACCTGTCCCTCGGTCCCATGGTGTGTCCCCCGCAGCCCGTTTCACCGACCGTCCTGTATTCCAGGAGGCCAGCATCTTCAGTGTGAGCACCCGGCAGTGATAGCTTGCGGCTTCACAGCCGGGTACCCACTGCGCATGCGTGAGTAGCGCTGCACTTCATCAATGGTCCTGTAGTCTTCTGGGACCTGTCATGTGTCCCAAAAGACTACAGGGAGGGAGAGAGGGAGAGAGGGAGGACACCTTCCTCTTACGATCGCCTAGGTGATCGGACCGGAAGTGGGAGCTGGTACCTGTCAAATTCGGGTACCTGCTCCAACCCCCCCTCCAAAAGGTGCAAATCCTTAATGGGGAGCTCCTTTCGGGTGGAGCTCCGCTTTAAGAATGTGTGCATCATCAAGCTCTGTGGATATCACAATGGACTTCTTCAGGCATTTAATCATCTATTTGATTTGCCTTTTTTTTTTTTTTTAACATTCTTCACTCGGGTACACAAAAGGTGCACTGTGATTGTCTGTGGTGATTTCTTGACATTGTAAAATTTGTAGTGCTGCATCAATTATTTATAATTTATACCCTTGTCCTGTTTCCCTTGCTCTTCCATCCACCATTTTTGGATTTCTCCACCTATTAAAAATGACTGGCAGGGAGGTATTTGGCTGCTGTGCCACATCTTCACATGTTGTGTAGATGTGGCTTCAGGGGTACAAATTCTGGTAATATTTGCATACAAGTGCAACTTTTACTGTTAATTCTTTCTATTCCCATAGAAGAAGAAGCTGCGTGATGTCACACCTGTAATCGCATCCCCACACATCAGGCTCTGGTCATATAGTGAAGTGATGTATTGATACAGGGGGGTAATGTAGCCAATTATTTGTAAGGTTGTCACTAACTTTTAGCCAACTGCCTAAAGTCTGTCAAACAGAATCACTGTAGGATAGGAGACAGATGGAGATAACCCCAGCACTCATATACTGTAGTGCTCAATAGTAAAAGATTACTACTTGCGGCATTCTTTAAATGCCATAAAGCTGTTTCAGACATCTACCAACTTTATCCACAAGAAACCAAACATCATTCTGTGTTCCTGCTCTGAATCAACGTGGGAATGGTGTATACATTCTAAGGCAAGAGCCACAACTAGCGCGTACAAGGGCTGTACTTATTCTCTCGATTCTATCATTTACCTGTCAACCAACTGTGAACAACATGTATCCAAGGCTTTTCCCCAGAACACTTCACGTAAGTACATAATGGTTTTAGCATTTTGATATATAAATAGTTTTAAGCAGCTTATGGGTCATGTGTTGCAAGCTTTCTGCCTGATATCCAACCATTTCATTCTGCAACGTTTCACTAAGAGATGAGCCTCAAACATAAGATCCACTATCTGTATCATGAAATACAGTAGATGATGGCTCTATTACATAAAACCTTCTATCATTTATGTTAATTTAAAATAACTGAGCTCCTATAGTTTTATAATTTTTTATTCCTCTTACTTTTAACTTTTTGAATTTATATATTTTAGATTAAGAAGTTTTACTACACTTGACTGGTTTCAATTGGATGTCAATCTTTTGGAGTTTCTGTACATTAAAAATGTAATAACATTGTTATAATACAATACACCTCCATCATTACACAAATATAAGGCCACATTCACACTTCATGTGGTGGGAATGCGCACTCTCTTTTTTTGCACATTTTCTACATGTTTCCATGCATCACGCATAGGGAACAAACGTGCCATAGAGTCTCCTGCACCTTTTCCAGCATGGAGCATCGTGTGTTTTTTTCAGCAAGCATTTTGGTGTAATTTTTGCGCGATTTGTCATGTAGCAAACATGACACAATCACGCATTTCTACCTGCAATTTCAGAAATGCGGCAAAACACACAATGTGCTTGCGAAGACGTTACTTCTTAATGGCACCCCAAATGCAGCGCAATTTTGCTGTGTTTATCACCTGGCAGCAAAACGCTCGCCACTCCACACTCAAAAAGGAGGTGTTTGTGTTGTTGATTTCAAAGCATCTCCCACAATACCTACTCTAAAGGCCATTTTATAGTTTGCAAACGCTACAATTATACTGTATGCCATGTGTGGAATATTCTTTACAGTTGTGAAAATGTGACTCATAAGTATAAAAATGATACTTATGGGTATAGAAATTATATCGCATTACTTATTTCATGATGATGATAATGGCAAAGTTTTTGTTACCAGTCATATTATAATATTACTGCCAACATATATTTGCAATCTAGCTCACCTCTCCATCTCTTGTCTCAATAGTTTTAATGACGACGGTTTTCCTGGAATGAATCTCAGAGCTGTGATCTAATTCAGCAGGTCCTGAAGGATATATAAAGATACATACGATGTGTAAATTCAGATGAACTTTCTTTAAAAATCCATAAACCAAACATTTCATATTCCTGATATGTGCCTGCTGTACCGTGTGCTTGTATGAAAAAGTATCCTGTTCTCTTTGTATTACTTCCTTTGTGCAAAATCCCTGGTGTTTCTGCCATTCCCTCTGCTTTCCTAATTTAAAAATTTACCACACTAGGCATGAGAACACAGTCAGATCTCTAACTGTGCTGGGAACTCAGCCTGCTGTCCTCCAATGATCAGACTTGTGCTGACACCCCCCCCTTCCCCCACATAGGCTTCCACTGGGAAGATTAGTGTGCTGCTGTTCCTCCTCCCTGAGCTTCCTGTGCAGCTAAGAACAGAGGGTATGTGATCGCTTATAAAAAAGGGAAAAAAGGCATTTATAATTTTATATATATATATATATATATATACACACACACACACAAATGTTTTGCATTTCATTTCTGTTTTAAACTGAATGGGTTGTCTTCGTGAGGGTTTTCATATACTTTAAGGTGTTGGCCTATCATGAATAAAAGCTTTTAAAATTAATCAGTCACCAGCATCATATAGATATTGGGGGCTCTGGATCTCTGCACTACAGTTACCAGTGTCACCGATCTAGGATGGCCCAGAGGTGGCAGGGCTGTCCCTCTGGCAGGTAGATTTCACTACAGTATAAATAAAACCAGGCAAATAACACCACAGGATAGAATTAACATTTAAAGGTCAAGCACACAACAGATAACCCAGCTATGTGTGGACAACGGTAAGCTAATCTACCAGTTATATATATACATACACTCACCAGCCACTTTATTACGTACACCTGTTCAATTGCTTGGTAACATAAATTGCTAATCAGCCTTAGCCAATCACATGGCAGCAACTCAATGCATTTAATGCATTTAGGCATGTAGACGTGGTGCAGACGACATGGTGAAGTTCAAACCGGACATCAGAATGGGGAAGAAAGGGGATTTAAGTCACTTTGAACATGAAAAGGTTGTTGGTGCCAGACAGGCTGGTCTGAGTATTTCAAAAACTGCTGATCTACTGGGATTTTTATGCACAACCATCTCTAGGGTTTACAGAGAATGGTCCAAAAAAGAGCAAATATCCCGTGAGTGGCAGTTGCGTAGGCGAAAATACCTTGTTGATGTCAGACTGGTTTGAGATGATAGAAAGGCAACAGTAACTCGTGTCAATAGGGACCAAAATCTCTGAGGAATGTTTCCAACACTTTGTTAAATCTATATAATATAAGAATTAGAGAAAAAATTGCCTGTGAGGACGTCGGATGACAAAACTAGTAGGGCGGGGCTTCTTTTGGATGTGATGTCGGAATGCTCCTCGTAGGCTGTCGGCTGTGATATCGCGGTGAACGAGGCTCGTCTCTGCTTTCTTGAGGCTGTCATTGCTGGTGTCGGCTGGACACCCTGTTTGTGAGTGCATTTCTGACGTTTTAATAAAACATTTTGGTTTTAAGTGTACTACACCATGGTTTCCTTTTTTGATTCCCTGAACATGATCTATGGTTTGGAGACGTGATGACTACCTGCTGTTAAGGCTATTCCATATTGTGCTGATTGGCTAATTGCAGTATATTGCTCCCAGTTTGGATTACTTCTGCTGATCATCGCTCCCAGAGCGAGCGCTATCTTTGCTGACTTGTAGTCTGGTCAACATGGAGCTCTGGTGAGTGTACCCATTTAATTCGGTGGTGGATTTTTTTTTGCACGGTGTTTGATTTATACAAGATTACAGAACTGTTTAATTACTTTGTGATGGTGGATGGACTTTTATATAATTTTTTTTTATCACGGACATCATTATTTTAAACTAATAATTTTTGTATTTACTTATATTTAGCACACTCTTTGATTTATTCACTTGTTGAATCTATGCCATAAGGAATTAGAGCAGTTCTGAAGGCAAAATGGGGTCCAACCCGGTGAGTGTATGTAAAACATGGTGAACAACTGCACAAGTCATTTTCTAGTTTAATGTTAAAGAAGAAGTTTCTTTTTTTTTAAAAAACAACAAATATCTATACTTCCTTCTATGCTGCATCATCAGTCTGTTTTTGCAGCTGTCCCCTGTTGGCTGTAAGCCTGAGAACTGAGCAATCACATGACCTCTGATCGCTCAGTTCTTGGTCTTCCCGGAGCAGAGAGCTGTGACTGTCAGTTGCCGCTCTCTGCTCTGCCCCTCCAGTACTCACAGAAGCGTTGGGCTGGAGAGGGAGTGGGAGCACCTGGGTCAAGCTCTCAGCAGCACACTGAGAGGCTGAGCCAGCAGCTGACCAGGCATCCAGGTGGATCCTTGCACTGCCTGGAGCTGCTATGTGACATCAGCTGGAAGTGGGCTTTAGCCCACTGTTGGCTGATTCTGAGTCACAGGAGAGCAAAAGTAAGTGCACTCTTGTGACCCAGAAGAGACGTATGTCCAAACTTCTCTTTTAATAAAAAGAAAATATGGAAAACTAGAGGAGTACAGTACACTTCTTGCTTGTTCGATTGTTTCACTTATTTTTCTCAAATGTCTACACCAATCTAGACATCAAATTAGAGGCATCACTTACAACAGAGACATACCCAAACCCACAGCTCCGCTCAAGACTTGCCCCTCCTATATGTGGACAATTTGGCTGCCAGCCACTGTAGTCCATCTCCGTGTATGTATCAGCCGCACTCCAGGCGGAGACATTGTTATATGCAGTCGCTTTTTTGACAACTAATAAATATGCCAAAGGTGCAAAAAGTGGGCTGTGGCTGACACATTTTGTAATATTTCTAGAGTCATCAGTTGCTGTAATAAAATTTTTATACTTAGTGTAAAATCTTTTCTTGTAGTTCACTGGGGGACATAGGTCCTTCACCTTAAAGTTATGCTTCTTCTTACATGAGGGTTGGACACTAGCAAACAAAACACTGCATCCTAGCTCAGGATAACCCCTCCCACTACCAGCATGCCTAAGTTTTGTAGCAAAGCAGTGCTGAGAGCATGAACAGGGACCTGTGTCCCTCAATTTACTCAAATAAAAGGATGTTATGGTGAGTACGAAATTTTATTTTCTCATTCAAACAGGAAGTTTTTCACCTTCGGGGTGTCCAAACTAGCCAAGCTGAGGCAAGAGCAACACAGCAAACAAATACTTACAGGCCTAAGAAAACAATAGAAAACTGGGGACTACCTGCAAGATGACATCAGATAAGATTGCCTTATCCACCTGGTTTTGTAAAGCAAAGCCTTGCAAACATGGATCTTCCAAGGGATAGGAAGGAAGGACCTCTCCAATTCCAGAGCTGTATTTCTGAACCACCAAATGAATCAGCCTGGTCAGGGATGCATTCTAGCAGTAGCATTCTAGAGGTTTGGAGGGAAACTGGGACTTCCTTGAAGGAGTTTACCATCAGACACAAGATTAATGCAAAAGCAGAGTCATATGACTCCTGTACTAGAGAGTTTGGATTTGAGATGGGAGAGTCTGAAGTTTCTTCTGTGAATGAAACACTCTGGCCTGTGCTGTGTCCAGGGTTTGACCCAGATACTCTAAATAATTAATTGGTTCCAGTAACGATTTCTGAGAGTTCAGAATCTATCCAAACCACTGTAGCATCTGGACAGTCAACATTACAAAGTCTAACAGAGCCTGGGCTAACTGTTCCCTCAACATGAGGTCATCTAGATACCTTACAATGGGGATGCCACATGAGTGAAGCAAGGCTAGAATTGGGGCCAAAACTTGATGAACGCCTGAGGTGAAGACAAGAGGCACGGACAAGAGGCTGGAGGGCAAGCCCATGAACTGGTAGCGAAACAGCCCTACAGCAAAGCATAGAAATCACTAATGTACTGGAAAATTGGGGGGACAATTTGCTGGGCATCTTCAGAGGGAGAGCAAGTGCTAAGGAAATGTTAGTGGCTCTGGACTTGGAAAGCGCCCTGTGGCTAATTGTTAACAGAATGGAGTCTAAAAAATGTCCCCTATGGAGATATCAGGACCCAGTCACTTCCAGGCTATTGATGCAGAGTCCAGTTCAGCATTCCAAAACCAGTCTGAGGATGGCCATGTCAGATAGCTGCAATTGGTGGGACCAACTCAAGTAGTGATGTAGAGGAGAGCCTTCGTTAAAGAAAAAATGGTGCTTGAAAAATAGGTTAGTTATTTACACAGCAGAACTGAAAAAAATGTCCATCTCCCTAGGACACTAGCTACTATACTGAGGCACGTTGGTAGTAGGAAGGGTTAACCTCGATTGGCCTTCAGTTTTTTCTCTGTTATAAAATGAAAGTGTGTGCTGTGACTATAGATATTCTTTAGGAGCTCATTCACATTTCAGTTTTCCAACACATAATAAACTGACAACCTACCTACAAGGTTTTAATTATGCATGTCAACACATGTGAATTTGCATTAGGTCCTCCCTCACACCTATTACACCTATTGTGTTACAGTGTGTTACTGCATGTACATTAACATGTGGTAGCGTGTTCAAAGTAATTGGACTTAACACAAGGCACTTTGAAGGCATAGGTATGAGGCCAGCCTAACACATTCAAAATCACGTTAACGCACATTCACATACATTAAACTGCATTATAACTCACAATGATGTGCAATGTAAAGAACTTACATTTCATTCATATATAAAATATGGCTTTCTTGATCTTTTTTGCTTTTTTTTGGTAAGATCAATTAAATATAACTTTCTGCAATAGTCCTCTCTCTCTATTAGTTCAGACTATGTCCACTTTCAGTTTTTGATACTGACATTTGGTCTAAAGAATGGTTTCTTAGCAGTTGATCCCACACTTGGGTTTCAGTAGATGTAATATATATGGAGATGTATTAGTGTATTCATAATTACTAACCTGGACTTTTAATACTAAGAGACGTCAGTGAGTGAATGGGTACAGCAATCCTGAAATACAAGACATGTCATTTGAAGATACATTTTTTGATATGTGAATGAATAAAGATTTATGCAATATAGATGTTTTTAATAACAGTACAAATGTCTCTAGTGCGTAGAACCTTATAGCAACCAATTACTTATTATAGCTGCCATGCTGCTCAATTCAGTTTCATCTTAGAAGTCATTGGTGAGAGGAAGCCATGATGGTTATTTACTAAAACTGGAGCATGCAAAATCTGGTGCAGCTCTGTATAGAAGCAATTAGCCTCCAGGTTGAAGACATCGTTCACACCTATGCAGGTTGCGTTTGAGCCATTTCTACATTATGTTTTGCATTGCATTATGCATTTATGCACCTGCATTTTTGCCACGTTTTTGATGCGTTGTGCATTTTTTTCTTTCTTTTCATTTTTCTTGTTGCTAGGCAGATTTAAAATGCAAAACGCAGCAAAAACGCACTACAGGCTTTTCTGCAGAGTTTCCATTGAAGTCTATAGAACCAGAAACGCAACTTTTTGTGTTCATAAAAGTCCATGACCCTTTCCAAAAAACGCACAGATCTGGACATGTCCCATAGGAAATCATGTTAAATGGACTGTACTGCGTTTCTGCAAAATGCTGCAGAAAATGCTTAGGTGTGAACCTACTGTTATTGTCAAAGTTTAATTGAACAAGCTGACGTTAGAAGCTGATTGGCTACCATGCACACCTGTACCAGATTCTGAGTGCATCATAAATCTTAGTGCTGGCCTCTTTATTAGGCTCCTTTGTGCCCATTTTATTGTTAAAGTGAACCTGTACTCTATTTCTAAAGTCCAGCCTAATGCAGGCCATAGACGGGGAGAAAACCGGCCGAAAAATCGTCCAAAAATATAATCGGACGATTTTCGGATTGTTAGTGGCTGAAGTGGTCGGCCGATTTTCTTGATTTTGACACATTTTTTTAATCGTTCATGTTGGGGAAAAAAACGGCCGATTTTGCCCATCAGCCGATTTTCACGGCAATGATGGGCAAATCGGACGATCTTTTTCCCGATTAAAAAAAATGCGCATGAGCCGTGACCAAAGAAAAAGAAGAAGAACATCTGTATCTATTTGTATCCATACAAATATATACAATGTTTGCAACTGCAATACTTAGAAATGTCAAATCTATTAGCAGTGTCCCTGCAGAGAGCTCCGCTATGATATTTGACATTTAAAAGTATAAGGGTTGCAACATTGTATCTATTTGTATCCGAATAGAAACATCTGTATCCGAACTGGATACAAATAGACACAATGTTGCAACTTTTTCTTATTATTATTCATATTCTATTTCTTCTTCTTTTAAGTATCAAATATAGCGGAGCTCTCTGCAGGGACACCGCTATTATATTAATTGCCGGCCGTAGACGGGACGAAAATCAGCTGACTTTTTTCTACCAATGGTGGTAACGTCGGCTGATTGAACGACCGATTTTTCGTTTTTCTAAAACACAAAATGTTCGGTTTTCTCCCCGTATATGGCCTGCATTAGAGTAGACACTGCAAAATTTATGGGTTTCATAGTTTCACTTTATCACTGGGGCCTGTCTAATCAGAGTGCCTTTACCGGCCATAAACGACAGTTGAATGGTATTTGGCAGAGTGAAATTTTTTCAGAGACAGGCAAAAAAGAGGCTTTTCAGGATGGTAATAATATAATAATAAGTAATGGTAAGTAAGTTATTTGCAGACACCCACGGATCCTTAAATAATTGAGCTCTGTCATTTCAAAGCCATTGTTTCTAGTATTTTTAGGGACTCTTTAATGACTGGCATAGTACCACTGGATTGGCGTAAGGCCAATGTGGTGCCAATATTTAACCACCTCCCATCCGGCCGTTGTATATAAACGGCCAGACAGTGGCAGTACAAGGTCAGGTGGTCGTTTATAAATGGCCTCCCCACCCCCTGCTTGTGCGTGCTCCCTGGGAGCGCGCAGCAGCACCGCGATCTGGTGCCCGCTGTGTCCTCCGGACACAGTGGAACACCGATCGCTGTATGGGACCTCTCTGCGAGGTCCCGATCATGTGATCACTGATTGGCCAATCAGTGATCACATGCAGAGTAGTAAGCAAGATGTCACTTCTGACATCATTGCTTACTACGTGTGAAATCTGTGAATGATCACAGAGGTCACATGGTACAAGGCTATTCACAATAGCCTTGTACCATGTGACAAGCTGTGACCAATCACAGCTCACACAGTAGTTCTCAATGGCTGCAAGAATGCAGCCAGAGAGAAGGAGAAATGATTGCTTTTACAGTCTATATGGGTGTAAAAGCAAACAGTGTAAAAAAAAAAAAAAAAATCTTATCACCCCCCACAAGTAGTACAGTGTCATCATGGTGACACTGTACTGCTAGGGTGACAGTATGTTAAAAAAAAAAAAACAATAATATAAAAAAATGAAATAAAAATGTAAAAAAAAATGTTTAAAAATTATAATTTTTGGTTATAAACTAATTTGGGTTTTTTTTTCACTAAAAAGATAACGGAATAAATTTTGGCCAAGATTTATGATGAAATATTATTTATTTGCAAAATGTTATATGAAAAACACTCTTTTCAAAATTTTTGGACTTTTTCATTTACATAGCAAAAAAGTGAATAAATACCACCATAATAAAGCTTTATCTGTCTCAAAAAATGCTAAAAAATTCATATGAGTACAGTGTTACATGACCGTGCAATTGTCATTCAAAGTGTGATAGCGCTAAAAGCTGGAAATTGGCCTGGGCAGGAAGAGGGTAAAAGTGTCCGGACCTGAAGTGGTTAAAAAGGGGTCTAAATCTTTACCAAGTAATTATAGACCTGTTAGTTTAACTTCTATAGTTGGGAAGATACTGGAGAGTTTAATAAACGACCACATAGATGAGTTCTTGCTGGAAAAAATATTTTAAGCAACAAACAGCATGGATTCATGAAAGACAGAAGTTGTCAAACAAATCTGATTTCCTTTTATGAGGAGGTGAGCAAAACCTTTGGACAAGAGGGGTGGCGGTGGATGTGGTATACTTGGATTTTGCTAAAGAATATAACACAGTTCCCCACACACGGCTAATTTGTAAGGTAAAGTCTACAGGCTTGGAAAAATCTGTATGTAAATGGATAGAAAACTGGCTACAAAATGGTATTCAGAGAGTAGTGGTTAATGATTCATACTCTGAATGGTCTGGGGTTGTCAGTGGTGTACCCCAAGGTTCAGTGTTGGGACCCTTACTTTTTAATATAGTTATAAACACTATAGGGTCTGAGATTTTAAATCCCATTTCAGTCTTTGCAGATGACACCAAGCTGTGCAGTGGAATAACGTCCTTACAGGATGTCTCCAACTTACAAGCCGACCTCAATGCACTGTTTAATTGGGCAACTATGTGGCAAATGAGGTTTAATGTTGATAAATGTAAGGTTATGCACTTGGGGGCTAAGAATATGCATGCATCATACATACTAGGGGGGTACAACTGGGGGAATCAATGGTGGAGTACGATCTGGGAATATTGGTAGATCACAAGCTTAATAATTGCATGCAGGCCTGGATTCTTTCTTGGATACACAGAATATAACTGGATACTAACATTTATAGGTAAAGTTGATCCAGGGAATATCCAATTGCCTCTCGGGGGATCAGGAAGGAATTTTTTTCCTTGCAGGAGCAAATTGGATCATGCTTTGCTGTTTTTTTTTTTGCCCTTCTCTGGATCAACTGTGGGTGTAGGATTATGACTTTTTTTTTAATGGTTGAACTGGATGGACTTTTGTCTTTTTTCAGCCAGAATAACTATGTAACTATATCCACTTTTAGATAAGACGTTAACTTGGAAAAGCTCAAAATGAGGTACAGATTTATTTAGGGCTTCGTTCACACTTGTGCGACTCCAAAGACGCACAATTTCCAGTGCAACTTTGGAGTACAACTTTTAAATTCAACTTTGATGCAAATTTACACTCTCTGGCACTCAAGTGTGTATGAGTATATAAATAAATAAACATTTATTTGTAATCAAGATCTTCTTACAGTTTTTACGCTTGATCATTGTGCTACGATTTATTGGTTCTCTAAGTAAGCTCATAACTTAATGAATTCATTGACATAATGCCCTCTGTATATCATATATTCTGAAATAGATTTTTGGTCAGATGGGATGCTAAATGCACTATCTGGAATACAAAAAGCCCCCAAAGGAGGGGCAAAGAAATTGCCGACAAATTAATATGTGAAATAAGATCACAAAACAGCAGGTATCTAAAGGTTTTCATGTCACATTTTTTAAGATTAACTGTTCAACAATAACTTCCAAATTAAATTGTGGAAAATATACCATATACACCCATTAAATACTGCAATTATGGTCTTCATCAGTCCTAATGTCCTACTCATGTTATAAGTAGGTAGAATATACCAGTAAAGGCATTATAAGGTAGAATTATTTTTAGGTGTTTGTTAGGTGTACACTTCATCTCACCTGCTTTCTTCTCCTTCAAGGAGTTTTCTGTAGGTTGCAATCTCAATATCTAATGCCATTTTAACATTGAGCAGGTCTTGATATTCCCTCAAGTGACGAGCCATTTCTTCCTTCATATGTTGCACCTCCTGTTCTAGTCGTACAATATTATCCTGGTAATTTGCTGCTTCAACCCCAAACTGTTCCTCCATGTTCTTCATCTGACGCAGCAGAGCTTCATTCTGCAAAGGAGGACAGGTTGAACTAGTGAGAAGATATCTGTCATCAAAGTACTTCATTTTGAGAATGTTAATCACCATTAATTACACATTTCTGAACCTCTATCAAAAGATTACTTACTGTTCCTTTTAGCCCATCAACCTCACAAGTCAAACTCTGGATCTGTCGTCGTGATTCATTCATCTCCTGCTTGGCCTGGCGCAGTGCTTCATTATTGCGGTTTGCAGCATCTGACAGGTCAGCAAACTGTTCCATAGGAGTGACAAAAATAAATATAAATATGAATTTGACAAACTATTTGAAAAGTATTGATGTTTTTGAGGTGCTCAATAATGACACCACTGCTACTGTTGTGTATTCAGAACCTTCAGAGAGCCTGTAATAATAAAAAACAGTAAACACTGTAACAATATAATTGTAGTATACACATAGGGGAATATTTATTTTTTAAAAATTGCATAGCAATTCACCCAGGGATAGTGAATGCACTGTCGTCCTGTGCAAATGGAGTAAAACATTTTTATTTGGGCTGTTTCCTGTGCTGGATGAATGTTTTTCTATGATTTTAAATGGAAAAAAGAATGCATTTGGCCACAAGATGGCACTAATTATCATAGGAAACTCATGACACTCGGCACCATCTTGTGGCCAAATGCTGTATTTTCTGTTTTAAATCAATGAAAAATATTGTAAAGCACAATTGTCCAAATTGCCTAATAATTTTTTTGCCCCATTCCCACCAACTGAATGTATATGCACTTTCACTAGACAAATTTCTATCCACATTTTTATAAATACACCCTATGGAGTGCATTATTAGTACTATGATAAGTAAAATACTATTCATTGTATATATTGATACGTGATTACTAAGCTACAGAACCCCACAATGCCTGTGGTTTGAGATGATCTATGCTGACAAACGTTAAAAGCTCTTAATTATTATGTAGATATTGAACAAAAGATCAAGGCTGTCATTGTTGTCCCCCTTTGAAAATGCCAGCTGCTTGGCTATCTCTAGCCTAGAACTTTTTGAATCAGTAAGTTGGATCAAGTATGCAGAAATTGAAGTCTAAACAAAAGGATAGTGATGGCAGTCTAAGTATTTTGTGTGTGTAGGCTTTCTTTAAGCAATCAGCTTATGGATGTCATTGTTTTAAAATATTCATCTTGAACACTTTTCTGTCAGTGAACTTTAGCTAATCATATACAAAAGTGTCCTAGAGGATCATAAGGATTGCATATATTATTATATCATGTTTCTTGGTTTATTGCTCTGTGTCCTATATGAAAACCTGCATTACCTTTTGTAAGCATCTATCTCTCATGTTCGGTTTCCACCTCGTACCTTAGATTTGTACCATTCCTCAGATTCTTGTAGATTCTTGGCAGCGATGCTCTCGTACTGGCTGCGAATATCACGTAGCGCAGATGTAAGATCCGGCTGCTTTGTAGCTTCAATTTCCAGGTGTACTGATGGAGCCTGCACTGACACCTGCACATCTTGAAGTTCCTACATAGTAAAAAGATTTAATACACAAAATGAGATTATACAGAATTTAACAGGATATATTGTCTTTAAAACCTGTTCTTTTATCAATGACTTTTAAATCTTTGCATCTTTAAAGTGAATCTATGCTTTTGCCATCCAGGCCACAGCAACAGGTTCCTAGATGTTCAAAAAGTTCAGGTTCCTGGAATTGGACTTTCTGGCCAGGGACAGACTGACCGCCCGAGGGCCCGGGGTCAGTAGGGGGCCCCATGAGATGCCCCTGGTACCTTTTTCATAGGCTTTTTTAGTTTGGGCAAGGACACAGGTTCCCCATGATCCCCTATTGCCCAGGGGCTGTTGGTTATGTGTTAGAGAAGACACTGGTAGCTTGTGATGAGGCAGAACAATGACTTTACTTGTGTGGCTTAAGTTGCAAACATACAACACATTTCAGCAGACATCTTCTTGCTTCATGAAGAGAGAGGAAGAGAAAGAGAGAAGAACCAACAAGTTTTACACATATGCACAACTAGTACCGTATTTTTCGCTCCATAAGACACACTTTTTTCCCCCAAAAAAAAGGGGGAGAAAATGTCAGTGCGTCTTATGGAGCGAATATAAAGTGGCCGGTCCGGTATTTCTGCCGCCACCATGTCAGAATACCGGGCCGGCCGCTCAGCTGTTCTCTCCTGCAGGGCCTTACCTGTTCCTCGCTCCAGCGCTGCACAGTCTTCCCGCGCTGGCTTCTGTGACAGCCGGGTGCCCACTGCGCATGTGCTGCGCTTTGTGGATGATCCGGTGTCTTCTGGGACACATGACAGGTCCCAGAAGGCGCCGGGCCATTCACAAAGCGCAGCGCTTCTCGCGCATGCGCAGTGGGCACCCGGCTGTCACAGAAGCCGGCCCGGGAAGAAGAGCGAAGGACAACTCCGCGGAAGTGGGAGCGGGTACCTGTCAAATTCAGGTACCCACTCCCCCTCCCTCCCCAAAGGTCAGCAGTCTCTGGTCATTCCCTGCACTGTCTGCAGTCTCTGGTCATTCCCTGCACTGTCTACAGTCTCAGGTCATTCCCTGCAGTGTCTGCAGTCTCTGGTCATTCCCTGCACTGTCTGCAGTCTCAGGTCATTCCCTGCACTGTCTGCAGTCTCTGGTCATTCCCTGCACTGTCTGCAGTCTCTGGTCATTCCCTGCACTGTCTGCAGTCTCTGGTCATTCCCTGCACTGTCTGCAGTCTCTGGTCATTCCCTGCACTGTCAGCAGTCTCAGGTCATTCCCTGCACTGTCTGCAGTCTCAGGTCATTCCCTGCACTGTCTGCAGTCTCTGGTCATTCCCTGCACTGTCTGCAGTCTCTGGTCATTCCCTGCACTGTCTGCAGTCTCTGGTCATTCCCTGCACTGTCTGCAGTCTCTGGTCATTCCCTGCACTGTCTGCAGTCTCTGGTCATTCCCTGCACTGTCAGCAGTCTCAGGTCATTCCCTGCACTGTCTGCAGTCTCTGGTCATTCCCTGCACTGTCTGCAGTCTCTGGTCATTCCCTGCACTGTCTGCAGTCTCTGGTCATTCCCTGCACTGTCTGCAGTCTCTGGTCATTCCCTGCACTGTCTGCAGTCTCTGGTCATTCCCTGCACTTTCCGCAGTCTCTGGTCATCTCCTGCATTGTGTCCGCAGTCTCTGGTCATCTCCTGCACTGTGTCCGCAGTCTCTGGTCATCTCCTGCACTGTGTCCGCAGTCTCTGGTCATCAATATAGCAATTGTAATAATGATGCTTCTCTGGTATGCCTGATCTATGTACAAACCCCAAAGGCACTCCTGTTTTATGGAACAGGTATTAGTTCAAGCAACCGTATAAAATAAAAAAATATTTGGTCAGTGTACTTGTCTTGTCTTTCCAGTCTTCTACAGTATTATGGTGGAAGACCTATTTAAAAGGACATTTACTCATACAAAGCACTTTTTTTTTCTTAACTACAGTCTGTATCCTGCCACAATTTGGAAAGCTATTTGGTTTCTTTTTGTTTTGTTTTTTTACATATCATCTCATTCCACTAACCCCCCACCACCTTCCCATACCACTATTCTCACCTAGGCAAGAATGACAACTCCTGAAGCCTCCTGGGATATACACATCACATCCCTGAAGCCATCAGCTTCAACACAGTGATTGGAGGAGGGTAGACCTGCCACGTCATCAGGTGGCTGGCTGTCTGAATCAAGAAGAGACAGCCGACTCCTGATGATGTCAAAAAGGAAGATGGCAGAGCACAACCCAGAGTGCAGCAATGGATCAGCAGATTACAGCAGGACAATGCCAGGATTTGCTGGGAAAGAGAAACAAATGTATGGGAGGAGCGATATATGTCTTTATGTTTTTTTAATAAGAGGTGGAATGTGGCAATAATATTAAATACTTTGCTAGAACTCTTGGCTCAAAGTTTTAAAGTATTCTATTTTTGTCAAAAGTGTGTGTGTGTATATCTTTATAAACTGCAACTTTTTTGTACTATTTTACCAGGAAAATAATTCTGAAGAATGCATATTTTTTGTAAAACTAGGAAATTGCCCATTTTTATTTTGTGCAAGTTTTATAAATGTCTGCACAATTCTACATAGGTAGCTGAACTGACCGACTTTCTAAAGTCTGACCAACTGGTCTAAAGAATGAGTTATGCTGAACGGTCTTGCTGGAAAACCAGTATTCTATCAGTGCTTACAGCCAATGGCTGAAACCACTGATCAGTGTATTCTGGCAATGGGGGAGTCCCCCCTGTCATAATACAATAGTGCAGTGGAAGATATCCCCATATCACACATTGTTTTGTTGATGTGGGCATCTGTCAGGTTTTTTTTTGTTTAACCTGCTGGTTGAATGAAGAAAAACAGTTAGGCCCCTTTCACCCGGGCATTCCGTCTGTCCATTTTTCATCTGTCCGTTTACAGATGAAAAACGAACACCCATGTATTTCTATGGACTAGCGGATGTAAACAGATGATCATCTGTTTACATCCGTTAATGTCCGCATCTGTTAACATTGGTTTTATGAACAGAATAAACCCCTATTTTTCTTCCATAAAAAAAACCAGAACGGATATAAGCGGACAAAACCGGATGTAAACAGATGAAAAATGGATGTAAATGGACAAAAACAGATGTAAACAGACAAATATGGATTCAAACGGATGTAGGTGGACATACGGTCCATTTTTTCGTGGGTAAAGGATGTTAAAAAAAACGGATGTAAACTGATGAAAAACGGATGAAACTGATGTAAACGGATGAAAAACTGATTTACGCTGATGAAAAACTGATGTGAACTGATCCGTTTTTTCTTGGAAAAATCTTGACTGAACTGATGAAAAAAAAACAGAACGTCCGTTTGAAAGGACCCTTAGTGTATACCCAGCTTTACTCATATTGCCACACATACCTCCTCATGAAGTTTCTTCAGGAATTCAATTTCATCCATTAGGGACTCAATTTTTCTTTCTAGCTCTAGACGAGACAAGGTTGCATCATCCACATCCTGCAAGATAACCAACAAAAAGATTACTAATCCACCATACTGGTAAACTACTTATGCATAGCTTGCTTTAATGAGTAGTAGACAGTATGATAGTGATCTCTTTCATCCTGTTTTTTTTAAAGACCTGCTTAGCTCATGTACAGTATGTTTTCTAAATACTTGTACTGTTATTGATGTCTTTTGGATTTAGCCTTGTTATATAATGTGCATAGAGATTTCTGCACCACAACTTGCATTGTTCCTTCCTCAGCACTAGCAGCAACACATTTTTTCTGTGCTCCATTGCAAATGGAATTATTGACCCCTCAGAGCCTGTATTATAGTAATATATCTATGGATTAGATTTTGGGGACATGGTATACAGCATCCACAATTTTCTGGACGGCACCCAGGAACTGTGCTCAGACAAAAAAAAGAAAACATATCTGGACAATAAGAATACTGATATAAAATTGTCTGAAATCTGAAAGAGATCTATCTCAATGTGTCATGTGTATTATATTATTGTATATTTTCCCCAAGAATGCATTGATTTATGATATATCCACATTTTATTATTCAAAAAAGCCTATGATTTGCTAACAAGGTTTTTCCTAGAATTAGATGGGATCAAACCAATTTTTCATTTTTCACTATAGAATTACAAATATTTTGTTTTTGTTTGTCCTTTTAAGTTTATAAATGTTGGTAAACTGTAAGGTTTTATTGCTGTACACAAGCTGTAACCAGTGAGGATGAACATAGAGGAGCGGACACTAATTATGGTTCTTTATTCTATTCTTAGATGTTTAAGTATGTAGAATAGGTTGCTAGAGAGGTTCGGGTAAATTTACACTTGTTGGCTGCTTTGTAAACAGAGTAGCATTGTGCGTTTAGTTTTGGCTGCTCCGGGTCTCACAGGCTGCAGGCTCAACTCCCCGCCTTCTGGGAGGATCTAGAATGTAGTAGACTGGAAGTCAAACCTTGAGCTTGAATATTTTTGGCACTCTTGCCAATCCCTGGGGAGGTGTGCCCAGAGAGTGGAGAGAGAGACCATAAATAGTATGACGCCTGGAGACATTGGTTCCTGTCCAGGAGGAAAAGATCCCAACCTTAAGGGCTGCTGCTCTTTGGGCAGGTTAGCTGAAGCCTCTTGCAGATAATTCACCGGGGTCCCAGCTCAGTGAGAGCTGGGGGGCCTATTGCAGGGAATTTACCAAGGTCCCATCTCAGTGGGAGCTGGGGGGGCCTATTTGTTTCCCTGGAAGCAGTTTAGAGCCAAATGGTGCACTGAGGATCCAGCCTGGTGAATCACGGTACGGTGTCTAGCCAATATTGGACATCTGGAGATACTATGGGGTTTATTTAGTAAAGCTGGAGAGTGCAAAATCAGGCTCACTTTTTCATAAAAACCAATCAGCTTCCAGGTTTTATTGCCAAAGCCTAACTGAACAAGGTGAGGTTGGAAACGGATTGTAAAAATTAGCCTGATGTTGCGCTCTCTGTCTTTAGTAATTAATGACTAGTGCTTAGAGGCTTGGAAGTGGGATCCTAGTGACTGTCTGCTGTTTAACCACTTGTGTGACTGTGTCCATGTTGCTAAAGTGGGATCTGCCCTGCTAGGAGTCCCAGAGGTGATGGTGTCTCTAGTCTCTGCAAATAACCCCCTTAAAAGACCCCTGAAAAGAGAAAAACAGAACAGTAAATGTCAAAATATTTTTTGCATGAAATTCTGGAGTATCCCAAAGCTTCCCTGCATCCCACACAAGTTTAACCAGCAATAAAGCATAAAAAAACATCCACCGCCTGGTTGTTGTGAGACTGTTGAAGTGTTGTGTGCCTGGCTGCTTTGGGACCCAGACGGTAGGAGAACCTGGGACAAATCAGAGGGCTCTCTGAGGGGTCTGAGCTACAAGTAGAAGAATATAGCTCATCAAATACACAGAGCCAACAACTGCCTAGGATCTGCTACTGTACGCTGATATCTCTGTTTTAATAAATGTATCTTCAAAGATTTGTCTGGCTTACCTTCCTGAACAGAACAAGGTTATTCTCCGCATCTTCTCTTTTGTGCATTTCTTCCTCCAACCTGTAAACAGAAATGAATGAATAATAACGCTCATCATATTAACCAGATTTTTAGCAGAATTAACAGAATACAATGTCCAGAAAAAGTAGCAGTTAGAGCTTTGAGACAAACCATTTAACACCTACAATAGTCAGCTTTTACTCATTTATGTAAAACATTTATCCCAAAAGGAAAAAAGTGTTTGCTGTAACTGCTTAGAAACTGTTAGCTGGAGTTCAGCTTCAATTTGTTATTCAAGTCCATCTAAATCTACTAGTACCACTATCACTTTCCTCTCCCCAGTTTGACAATCCTGCTGTCAAAGGGTGGTTCCATTCACAAAGCACAGTGCAATTCGCGCATGCGCAGTAGGAAACCAGCTGTGAAACTGCAAGGCTTCACTGCCATTTTCCCTTAGTCAAGATGGCAGCGCAGGAACCCGACAGCTAACTGAAGAATTAGCTCAGGGTGAGGACACCACTGGACAGGTAAGTGCCCTAATATTAAAATTTAGCAGCTACAGTATTTGTAGCTGCTGACTTTTAGTTTTTGGGAGGGGGCGGAACTCCTCTTTAAGTCAGAAAACTTGTTATTGTCTGGAAAAATAAATGCACATTTATTCTTGCAAATATATGTGCATTTATTATTTTCTTCTATTAGGCGGACTTAACATTTAACGTTAAGATAATCTACTTTTACTGTATCTATTCTGCTATGATGTATTGCACAAAACTGCTCACTTTGTAACCTACTGGCTATCTAGTGTCCTGTTGATGCTATGCACAGTACTCATATACTGTATAGTCAGACAGTAAACAGAAGCAAAGACTCTGGAGAATAAAATGGTGGTCGTTGCGATTTTTATGTCACATCATATTAACACGTTTCTCAGATGAAATTATTTCTAAAAAAAAAATGTTAATTTTCATGTACAATTAGCCAATTTTCTGGTAAAATATAAAAGATACGGTTGCAGTGAATAAATGCCCAAAAGGTCAAGCCTAATGCCCCGTACACACGATAAGAAAATTGTCCAAAAAAGTTTGTGGAACCACTGATCGAACGATTTTATCTTCGTTGATGAGCAGGATGTTTTAACAGATAACGATATTGTGACCGAAAAAATCAGGTTGAACTACAGTGAAAAATGTTGTTTCACATACGAACAACCGATTTTCTATGCGGTATTATGATGGTTGTACAAAAAAAATCTATCAAGCGCTATCACGCATGAGTGGAAACAGAAGATGACCCGGATGTTTATGTCCAAGGAATCTTTGTAAACACAAATGAAAAATCCAAATGTTAAACGTAGATTGGCCTAATGAGATAATGAAACCAGAATTCTGCATATTATATTTTATGTATCACTATTTATGTATATAGATAATGTAATAAACTATATTATACTCATTGCTGGTAATTGTTGTGTATATCGCTCAATCCGGCTGGAAGGGCGTGGCTAAAAGTCACACGCACACTGCATCACTTCCACTTGTACAGAAGACGTGAACACTACGTATTGCCTGATGATCGTTTTTTTTAGATTTCGACCAACGAACGAACGCCTCTCGGTTGTCAGATGACCGAACGGTCGTTTTTCTAATCGTGTATTCCCACCTTTAGAATTACGCATGTCCATGAAGTACCCAAAATTGTCCATAGGCATCACTTTGAAAGCTTTTAACAGTGGATGATGGCCCTAGAATTAGAATTGGTCATTCCTACATTTGCAACAATATATAACACAAGTAGGCATTTTTCTACATAGGTACACATGCCTCGTGCTTTTTACCCTCTTATGTGTTTACATAGCAGCAGGGGACTTTAAGAACTTTTTCTTTTTTTTTTTTTATAAATTACTTTATTTATTTATACAATTAACTATCACATAAGGACTAATAGCCACCCAAATTATTTCCACCTGAAAGCCCATTCCCTGATGGACAACTGTAAAAACCCAGGCGACCAGTCACTGTTTATAAACAGTACTGACAGACAAGTGGTTAACTTAACCACTTCAACAACGGGCACTTTTACCCCCTTCCTGCCCAGGCCAATTATCAGCTTTCAGTGTTGTCGCACTTTGAATGACAATTGTGCAATCATGCAACACTGTACCCATAAATTTTTTATAATTTTTTTCACACAAATAGAGATTTCTTTTGGTGGTATTTATTCAACACTGAGTTTTTTATTTTTTGCTAAATAACTTTAAAAAAAGACGAAAGATTTGAAAAAAAAACCAAATTTTTTCTTAGTTTCTGTTATAACATTTTGCAAATAAATAACATTTCTTCATAAATTTAGGTCAAAATGTGTCCCATGGACAGACCCGGTGACAGATCGCACAGCTACGTGGCCCCGCAGCTGCGTTAGCGGCAGAGCCGGTGACAGATCATACCACTGCATGGCCCTGCAGCCGCGTGAGCGGCTCCTTCTTAAGGGACGTCATATGACGCCCAGTCCGAAGGAGGAGTGTACCGCCTGGCCTATAGCAGATTGACGGCCGGGTGGGACACTCCTTCTTCTGACTGGGCGTCTTATGACGTCCCTTAAGAAGGAGCCGCTCACGCTGCTGCAGGGCCGTGCAGTGGTACAATCTGTCACCGGCTCTGTCCACGGGACACAGCCGATGACATATCACTACACCGACCCATTGCCAGTGTCATTTGAGCGCTGTGACCAATCACAGCAGATCACATGTCAGTTGTATACAGTGGATGGCTTCCTGTCATGCCATCCATTGTATATAATTGTGTTGTTAGCTGTGATTGGTGAAAGCAGTCACATGGTACAGACAGGGCCAATCACAGGTGTTAAAGTAGAACTGTACACAAGCTCCCTTGCCAGTGCCAACATCTTCTTTCTGGCTTCAGGATCTTTGGCCATCTTCATTTGGCCAGCCAGGATGACATAACTCCCACGCATGTGCATGGTATTCATTTATCATAGCACCCAGTAGATTCCATGACGTTACACTTGCTAATTTTTGTACTGTTTACTATTATCATTGAAAGTGAAAGCAAATAGAAAATCCCAATTTTGGGGTTGTTACCAGAAAAGTAATAGAGGGAAAATCTTCCAATGGGGACACTAGTTTTGGTTGCTTGGGGGGCCCGAAAGGGATTCCCATAATTTGCAGGGATTTCCTCTCACTTCATATTTTGGTTATGGAACAGAACATGAAGATACGTCTCCACAATGGGACACAGATGGCGAAAAATAAAAAACCTGACAGGGGTTATAACCCTCCCCTACCCTATCCAAAATCTTAAAAAAATGCCTATACTTGTACTTTATTATAATTGCTATTAGGACTCATGAAGGATTTTCTTTCCTCTACTTTGTGACATAATTGATACCCAGACGTTCTTTATTTTGCCTTCCTCTGGCCAAAGCAGCAGGAGTATTGAAGTTGAATTTTATGGATAGCACTCTCCTGCTACCTGCAGATATGAAGGATATTGCCCATCAAGGGCTGATTGATTTCCTTGAGGCTTTTGTTAAAACTGAATTTTGGCTAAATATATATTTTTTTCGCTGCAGCTTTAGTGGTCTAGCTGTGATCTTCTGTGCAGTGATGACAGGTCCTCTTCCTGGCGTTGAACTTTCGACACTGGGTCTGAGGGTTGTGTTTAATAGAAGAAACTCTTGACAAGGACCCGGCCCCTCCTTCCCCCACTGAGAAAAGCCTGAGCATTGATTATACTGAATGTACCACAAACTGTGAATTGGAGAAAGTCTGATGAATGTAAATAAATTCTCTCCCATTCACAGATTGTTACACAATGCACAGGCTTTGCTCAATGGATGAGAGGGGAGGAAGGTATTAAGGAAGCTATTAAATCCCTCTGTACCAAAATCTCAGTGCCAGGAAGAGGCCTGTCATCTCTGCATATAACATTTCTCCAGGATCCTGCAAATATGGCACATACTTCATTACAGGAAAGTTAGGTTGTTAAAGCTGTAGAAGCTGTAGGTTAGACAAAAATCATTTAGCTGAACTTCAGCTTTAAAGTGTTACTAAACCCACAACAGTAAAATCAGTCTGTATATGCAGTAAAGCATGCTTGTTATACTCACTAAGGGGTTAATCCTCTGCATTGTGTAAAAAAGGCTGTTTGGTCCCGTTTTCTCTGCCCCTCCTCTTGTTCAAATGTCCACCTGATAAGACAGACTGAAGCAGTACTCACATGCACATGCTCAGTTTAGTGTGTATTGCTAGAGAGGTTTTTTTTTTCTTGAGAGATTGCATGTGATCAGCACAGGGCCAATCAGCACTGTCCAGACAGAGGGTCAGGGGTTTTGCATCCTCCTAGAGCAGAAAGAAAACTCCTACAAGCTTTAACCAGTGCTCTGTTGAACACTGATAGAAGTCACAAGACTAACTGCTCATGAGAAAAGATATTTAGCAGTTTATATTTACTGAAATAATTACATTTCCATGTTTTGTGTGCTGTGGGAGACCAGATATAATGAATGCAGGGTCCTGGGTTTAGTAACACTTTAAGTCTTGTGAGGTTGTACAGACTTATCTCCTATATTGAAATTTCTTACTCTTATTCATTGCACACTGTAAACGTTATTTCCTGGCTGGAGGATATCCAGTATCATCCAGCTTTTCTCCCCAGCCTTACTGTCCCCACCCCGACCCTTTCATTCATTGAATTTCATGATTTGTCTGCATCGCCAAATGGTGTCATTACTTCTCCATGCAAATCACGCAATGCAATAAATAAAATAAGGTATGTCATGAAATGGAAAGGTGTTATTCAAATATTTCATTAGCACGTTAATAAGGTTAGAAAGGAAATGACAAAGGAAGAGGTAATTTCCTTTATTTGATCCAAAATTGCTTTCCAACAATTTTTTTAATTCTTATCACTGCTAAGATATTAAATGTTATGGTTAGGTCAACGTTCATCCTGTCCCTGGGTGGCTTTAGTGCAGAGTTGTAAACAGGGGCGGACTGACAACTCATGGGGCCCCCGGGCAATAGGGGATCATGGGGCCCCTGTGTCCTTGCCCAAACTCAAAAAACCCTATGAAAAAGGTACCAGGGGCATCTCATGGGGCCCCCTACTGACCCCGGGCCCTCGGGCAGTGCCCGAGTTTCCAAATGGTCAGTCCGCCCCTGGTTGTAAATCAGTGAGGTGGACCTATACAACATACAATGTAGAAAAAGATCCAGGACATTCACTGTATAAGGCTCCATGCACACTGGACGTTTTAATAACGCTGGTAACGTTAGCTGTGTAAAGTCACATTAAAAACATGAGTTTTTCAGCTTTTTTAGCATTTGTGTATTAGCGTTTTGCCGCGTTTTGCTGCGTTTTTTTTTTTTTTGTGTTTGCTGTTTTAGGGTTTTTTACTCAAAAAAAATTGGGGGTTCAAAAAAACATCCAAAAATGCTGGTTTGCCACGATTTACCACGTTTTGCAGCGTTAGAGCATTTTTACAGCTTAAAGACTCCTCTAGAAACCCACTAGTCCTGGGTTTTTTTTCCAGCCAAAAAACACCCCTGCCAAAAAATGTTGATTACAGTCTATGTGTGGATGGACACAATGTAAAAATGTCCAGTGTGCATGAGGACTTAAAGTGTTTGGGTTTATTAAGTAAATAACATTGTGCTTTTTACATAAAAATACTTTTGCACAATGCCATATATTGAACTTACAGAAAGCATTTTAGTGCATTGGTTGCCATGGACATTTTTTTCCATGTTGTATTGTTGTAAGAATATCATAATGCATATGTAAATCTCTTATTGGTGATAGACTGAGCCCAGCAGGGCTGACAATGCACTATTATTTTCTTCTTCATTAGTGCAAAATGTGGACTGAAAACCAATCATGTACTTCTCAACTGTCCAACTTCACAAAAGGAGTGTCCACACAGAGCAATGGGCGCATGCCAACCATTCTGTCATCCTCAATTCATGTAACCTGGCTTTGTTTTAGCTCATCTTTAGTATTCTGACACCAATTGAGAATTATTTCAGATAATACATTTTACCACAATTAGACATGATTTGCAATTATCATGTAATTATAGAACCAGACTAACAAAGTAGTGTCTTTAGATATCTGCATATCATAGGCCTTCCAATAAAATGATTACGCTGACTGGAGCTCACCACCAAAATTAAGAAATGTGTTTTATATTTTGTATTAATACTACACTTGTACTGCAAAGCTTTCCACTTGGTGGTCCAGGATAATTAATTTCCCTGGGGAAAAAAAAGAGAACAAAGAAATAAAGGCTGCCTGGTAACAGGGTGCCTCCTATCCATGAAAAGCTCCTTTCTGAAAGCTTGATGAAGACAAACCCAATGTCCCAGTTATATCTTACATGTTGAGATGGTCACTTTTCACCGATGTACTGATTATATCAGCTATAATATGGCTTTTCAAGGAAGATAAGTAATTTAACTCCCAATGTGTCTGATTATCTCCTATTCTGTCCACTTTTAGATGATCACTGAAAACTCAACTCTTCAAAGAGGCCTGTCTTACCCCCACCTAACAACTGTACATGTATTTTCTCCATTATCCCATCCCCCACAATTATTACCTTTTGTATCTCTTGCCCCTCCCTCTTAGATTGTAAGCTCTAATGAGCAGGGCCCTCTGATTCCTCCTGTATTAAATTGTATTGTAATTGTATTGTCTGCCCTCATGTTGTATAGTGCTGTGCAGGGGCGGACTGACCATTTGGAAACTCGGGCACTGCCCGAGGGCCCGGGGTCAGTAGGGGGCCCCATGAGATGCCCCCTGGTACCTTTTTCATAGGCTTTTATGAGTTTGGGCAAGGACACAGGGGCCCCATGATCCCTTATTGCCCAGGGCCCCATGAGTTGTCAGTCCGCCCCTGGTGCTGTGTAAACTGTTGGCACTATATAAATAATATATATAATAATAACAATAATAATAATAAAATAAGTATGCAATGCATAATGTCAAACTTCTAGAAAACAATGGCAGTTGTAAAAAATATTTATATACATTTTATTACAAACCATGATTCTGTTTGCCATATCGATACAAGCTCTGCTAGGGTGGACGAATGATGGGAATGTAATATACAAACAGCGACTTTCCACTTGTTGCAATATGCTTGTAGAACCACACCCTCAATAAAGAAAGGTTCTGTTCAGTCAGTTGTTTACCTTTTGGGGGCGCTCTCTCCCTTATACAGTACATCATTTACTATGGTCATGGTCTAACAGGGATATGATAAGGTTGTTCAATCTCTAAGTTATCACAATAGGTAAATTAATAGATCATTTGTAGAAATTTATTTAGATTAGACTTTGATTTATTTTATTTTATTTTAATTCAATCATTTTAATGTAAAAATGTTTGCTGTACCAAAATAATTATACTTGGTGCAAGCATGCATGATTAGATGCAGAGACAATGGAAATTACAATGAAGGATTACATATTTTATTTCTCCAACCCTTCTGCTAGGTTTGCTGGACTGAAAAGCTGTGCAACTGACAAATTTAGTGCTGTTTTTTTTTTTTTTTCAAATTCTGTTGTATTCTTCTTTTTATATTAAAAGTATACATTTCACTCAAGGGTGACAAACAACTGTGTTTTTGTCTATTATTATACCTTTAGCAACTTAGTAATGTTGTTGTTCACATTGGCCTGTGTATTAGGTCCATGGTTAAATAAACTCTGGTGAGATACTACTGAAGGAAAAGCATAGAAATTATATGCAATACCATGTAAGCTCTCTCACAATGCACCTCTACAAAAAAAGTATGCATGAGAGACATCAATACGACGCACATGTTTCTTGTTCCTTTTAAAAAGGATAGATGATAAAGGTTAAGCAATGCTTGTTCTATGTTGGCCCCTGTTAGATTTTTTACATTCAGGGCTGATACTATTGATAAATATTTCCCCTTCTTTTTTGTTGGACCCACAAGTCCTAATTTTAGTTTCAGTAGCATATGATTTTCTAGGTACTTTCCTATATCTTTTACTAATTTCTCAGATCCAAACCACAGGTTAAACTACACTACTCTTTTTTGAGAAAGTAATACATCCCATCCTTTTAGATGCACCATTATTTATACTAGCTACTCATACATATCTAATGAGGATACGTTGTTAGCAATTGATCTGACCTCCTAAAGACTTTTCTTATTTCCAACAAATACAGAACACACTTTACAATATTTATGATACTCATGATGTTGACACATTACAGTTTTAATCACAGCATTTGGGAATTAAAATTTAAACTGGACAACTCTAATTTAATACATCTTTAGTGTTTTTAGTCCTGAAAACATCTGTACCAATTACATTGTCCAGAAAATGACCCAAAATGATGGACTGTGAATATGGCACCTAAATAAGCACCCTTACTATAAGTTTATATACAGTATCTGTCCTTTAGAGCAGTGTTTTTCCAACCTTTTTTTCAGTCAAGGCACCCTTTAAAAATGATGGACAGTATCGAGGCACCCTTTAAAATTACGGACAGTCTTGAGGCACCCCATTCTCGAGGGTGCCTCGAGACTGTCCATAATTTTTAAAAGGGCACCCCATTCTAAAATATGAGAAACTATTCTAATAGTTTTTATAACGTAGCAACATCCACACATGTGGGACACCCAACATTGGAGGTGATTTATTAACTAAAAGGCAGGCCTGTCCACCCACTGGCTTGTATACAAGTTTTGGGCAATTTTTAGACATTTTACCAAGGCACCCTGAAGAGACCACAAGGCACCAAGGGTGCCTGGGCACCCTGGTTGAGAAAGGATGCTTTATAGGACAATTAGAGGCTAGTTCCACCCAAAATGCTAGACACTTTGTATCCTTTTTATACCAGATAAAATCTAAAATAATGGCCATACCACTGATATAGCCCCTTATACAAAACTGAGTTATTTATTCGGGCTGTTCTGAAAACTAATAAAATGACTTTCAAAAGTAAATTGATGTTTTTACATAACAGCCTAGAGTTGATTTCAGGGGCAGACTGACCATTCAAGCACTCGGGCACTGCCCGAGGGCCCGGGGTCAGTAGGGGGCCCCATGAAATGCCCCTGGTACCTTTTTTATAGGCTTTTTTTAGTGTGGGCAAGGAAACAGGGACCCCATGATCCCCTATTGCCAGGGGGCCCCATGAGTTGCCAGTCTGCCCCTGGTTGATTTTTAACCTGGTAAACTATAACTATATACAATTAAGATACTGTTATAAATAAGACCAGGACAAAAAAGAAACACTTGATCAAGTTTACTTGCGCAAATGTAAAAAATTAAATTCCTGCAGTCCAAGAGCTTACTTAAAAGTGTACAGAAAAATAGCAAAAGAAATGATGTCCATATAGCTGTAACTCTTACATCTAACTGATGTAAATTACATCCATTTAAAATGAAACATTTTAGTAATATAAGATGTTGCCATAATAATAGACATAGCAGATTGTGCTTGGAATTGGTCTGCTGTCTTTGAAGAGCCTAGTGCCATTCACACACCGGGGTTTATTTACTAAAGCTGGTTCACTCAGAATCTTGTGCACTTCTGCACAGAAACCAATCAGCTTACAGGTTTTATTGCTAAAGATTAATCAAACAAGCTGAGGTTAGAAGCTGATTGGTTACCATGCAAGGTGCACGAGATTCTGAGTGAACCAGCTTTAGTAAATAAACCCCACCCTGTCCACCCCGAGACTCTCACCTCTGCTTAAGCAGGTTCAGGTCTTCTGCCATGTTGTCTCTCTCCACCTGAATGTGGTCCCTGTCCTTGCCCAGGACATCCAGCTGTCTGCGGAGCTCCCTGAGCTCTTGCTGGCACAGATCTGCTGCCCTGGTGGGCTCTTTGGACCTGGCTTGGTTGATCTCTGTGACCAACACTGCATTTTGTTGCTCCAGGTATCGAACCTTTTCTATGAAACTGGCAAAGCGGTCGTTCAGTTCCTGCATTTCGGCCTTCTCATTGCTGCGGGTGGTCAGGAACTCTTGATTGAGTGCTTCAGCCACTGAGAAGTCCACTCGGTCCAAACCAACTCGGACTGGAGTGCTGGACCTTACTCTGAAGGCTGAGGATGAGGAACGGCTAGAAGCAGCAGGAGAGGGGCTAGCAAAGTGCCTGGAAGTTGAGAACCTAGAAGAAGAGGAGTAGGACACAGGGGACAGAAGAGGAGCCCCAAAAGTGCGTCGGTAAGAGGTGGACGATGTTGATCTTAATCCAGAGTGACTCATGCTGAAAGAGGTGCTTCCTTCTCTTTAGTACTCTGGAAAGATGCTTTGTATTGCTTGTTCTGAGATGCTGAGTAGAAAGACTGCGACTCCAGTGAGCTGCTTTATAAGGCAGCCTGGTTCATGATTGTGCAGTGACTGCCCCTCCTTATGGGACCATGTTTCTATTATGTAGAGATGTGGGAGGAGGGGAGGCTGTGTCTGTATCCATCCTACCACACCCGATAGTGCCAGTGCTGCTGAAACAGAACTGGGTGACTTTCTTTATCCTACCACAAGGAAGCTTGCCAGATGATACAGCAAATTCACAAAAACTAGTACTTTGTGATAGAGCTTCATAATATAAAATCCCCGCTCTCCACATCAAATATAGCAATCAAAGCCTACTGTAAATAAAATCCTATTTAAAGCTGTTACAGAGATTTAAGTTATAGCATTATTGAACTTTATCTGAATAATAATAATACTAACAGATGCTTAAGTTATAGCATTATTACGTTTGGAGTCAATTATACAGATGAATGTGTACAGTTTTGCAAATTTGTGCTGATTAGTTGGTGTAAGTGGATTCTCAAGCTATGTATGGAATTTCATAGAGAAGTACTGCATTTCTGAGCACAAAAGTAAATGGAGATGAATCAGCTTCATCACAAGAATATGGGGAGCAGTTTCCAAAATCACTATCTTCTCTAGGATCACCTACAAAGCAGAGATACCATTCATTCAAGAAGATTTGATCACATGACCTTACCTATATACATGAATATTTCAGGCACATTTAAGGCACCTTCATTAGCAAGGCTCACACTTTGCAGCTTCAAGCAACTGCTTGTTGATTTCATTGTACTGCAAATTAGGCAGTTAACAAAGGGTTTAGCTGGCTATTCTAGTAGAATTTCTTTTGAAATATTTTGTTTTAAGAATATTTTTCTGATTTTCTAATCATTATTGGGGTCAAGTCACCGTGTGTTTTCGACTGCAGTGATGAGAAAATTCAAGGGAGCAGGATGGAAACTTTTTCTGCAAAGGACGAATTTTTAACAGTGAATGTGGTTTTCATTTGGTAAAGTCCATTCACTTCAAAATCTTAAGCCGGCCATACATGGATCGAAATTTCCATTAATGTATGGGCACCCACAACCACCGTGTCAGGTAAATGCTGCTCAGTCAACACCACCAACTATAGCTGGCAGAGTTGATCAGTGTGTTCTGACAGCAGGGAAGTCTCCCTGCCGTCAGAACACAATAGCTCAGAAGGAATGATTTCCCATCCACCTTGAATGTGTGGATGGAGGAATTGGGTCAGTTTTTTCCTGCTGGTTGAAGGAAAAAAAAAACTGACCCATCTATGGCCAGCTTTATATTAAAAGCAAACAACATGTTGAAGTACTTTTGAAAGACATATGTCATCAAACGTACTGATGAAAATTTTCATACAAATGTTCATACAAACATCTACTAATGTGTGGCCAGCTTTATATGATACTACTAAGTGGTTCAAAATGTACTTTACTTTTTTGTACTACTATTTTATCCAGGGACTTTACATCTTGGGACGGTTAATTATGGGCACCAATTCTTTTGGAGCAAAGCGTGTGTTGTTCTGCTACATAAGATGATAAGTGCACTTACAGGTTAAAGAGGAAGTATGGCTTAAGCAATTTTGATCTTAATTCTCCTATGGATCACCGGAGTGCAATTAATTCATATTGCAATTATCAATACTTTGTACAAAAACACATAAAGCTCAAAATGTATAAAGAAATAAAATAATAACACATACATAATCTGCATGATCTGATGAAACAAGCTCTTTACAAAAGATCTCAACGTGTTTTGTGAATCAGCGTTCACTTCTTCAGTAAATAACAAAGCTGATGTAAATCAATTAAAGTGCTGAAGGCCTACCCAGAAGAAACAAATGGTGACTAGATGACAACCAACCAGCAATAACCATCCTGGCCAGGAGCTGTGAAAAGGAAAGGATTGGATACAGCAGGAGATGCAGAAGGAAACCATCAATGGATAGGCAATTGCATGGTAGCCAAGAGATGACAACCCAGTACCGTTGATGGTTCCCCTCTGCATCTCCTGCTGTATGCCCCTGGCGGGCCAATCTGTCCCTTTTAGCAACTCCTGGCATTGCTGGTGTTATTTTTATTTGTATATACACTATGAGCTTTATGTGTTTTTGTATACTGACTTCTTGAATGTTTTTAATATGGTTACTTTTTTAATAAAATATAATTTTTTAAAATATACTTTGTGTGCCTCGTCCTCGGTACCCAAAAGTCCCCTAGGCAATCTTTTCTTCTGTTGTAACTATATATAGGACTGAGCCACATATTATCCATACTCACTACAGCTTCTTACATTGAGCATTTTCAGGTTAGCTCTGCTGGATAGCTGTGACATGGTGCAGACCAAAAACCTTCATCATGCTTACTAAAATCACTTTTATAAATTCTTTATGTGCCAATACCTAATACAAAAAGATATATTAGCTTCTCCAGGTCTTAGAACTCCCCTAACGTAAAATCAGCATCACAAGAGAGCAGGACATAGCTGATCATCAGCTAAAGGAATAAGTCAGGGCAAAACATATCCTTTAGTGTGCACAGAACCTCAGACATGTTTCATTTGTCAGCGCTCGGTCATAGAGAATCTATGTGAAACATAACAGAGGTTCAAGGCTGTCATGATATACTATGACTTACAATAACATTTATCATCTGAAAAGCCATGGATGCACCATACCCTATTATATAGTAGGCTAGTATCCAGATAGTTTAAAGCGGAGCTCCACACCCAAAAGGGGAAGTTCCACTTCAAGGACTGCTCCCCCGCTCCCCATTAAGGATTGGCACCTTTGGGGGGGGGGGGGGGGAGCAGGTACCCGAATTTGACAGGTGCCCGCTCCCACTTCTGGTCTGATCGCCTAGGCGATCAGAAACGGAAGGTGTCCTCCCTCCCTGTAGTCTTTTGGGACACGTGACAGGTCACAGAAGACTACAGGACCATTCATGAAGCACAGCGCTACTCCCGCATACGCAGTGGGTACCCGCACTGAAGATGCCGGCCTCCTGGAATACAGGACGGCCGGTGAAACGGGCTGCGGGACACACACCACGGGACCGAGGGACAGGTAAGTGGCTGTTTTTTAAAAGTCAGCAGCTACAGTTTTTGTAGCTGCTGACTTTTATTTTTTGACAGGGTGAGTGGAACTCCGTTTTAATTTCTGATAAACCTCCTTTCTAGATGTACATCAACAGGCAGTACAGACAGTAAGTAAGGAATGATGGAAATTGCAGTTAAAGGAGGCTATAGGAATGAACTTATAATATGGACTTTAATAGGTTATTCATGTTGAATATTGTGGCCGTAATGCATTAAATACCATATTCTCATTGAAGATACTGTGTGACATCATTTCTAAGAAAAGACACATATCATCAGAGCAGACTGACAGCTAGGTCAGAAAAAAAGGAGGGAGAGAGGGAAAAAGATGACAGCTATATTGCAGCCAACATAAATGCATTACATCCTCCTTGGGGAACATCCAAGCCAGGCCACAGTAATTACCAGCTAATGGAGAGCTACAGACAGCTGCTGCTTACCGTTAATGGAGCATACCCCTTTCTTTTCAGAAACTTTAATTCATACCATCCTCTCATTGTTCTCTGAGCCAATCACAGGACATTTATTTTACACATCATAGAACAGCTAACCTGCCAGCAACATGCAATCAGTGCCTACCGCAACAGTTAGATAAAGTATGTTGTACAGCAAGCTAATATTAATGTACATATAAATCCTGGGGGTCCCACTCAGATTCTGTAGAATTGGCTTGCTCTCTGACCACAGAGGTTCACTCACTTGGCACTGCCTCCATTCAAAGAACGCCTTATATCTTTTTTTTGTGAATACATTCCATTCTCTGATTGGATGAGATGGAGAAGAGGGGCTGTGATGTCACAATCTCTACTTCATTCAATTAGATATAGCCTTGTAGTCTTCAAAAAAAAAAAATGCAAGGTATTCTTGGGATTGCGGCAGTGCCAAGTGAGTGAACCCCTCTGGTCAGTGTGCAGAGGGAAGCAGCGACACAGAGTACCTAGAAGATTGCTGCTATGACTGTAGTAGCACCAGGGGCGGAATGACCATTTAGAAACTCGGGCACTGCCCAAGGGCCCAGGGACAGTAGGGGGCCCCATGAGATGCCCCCGGTACCTTTTTCATAGGCTTTTTTGAGTTTGGGCAAGGACACAGGGGCCCCATGATCCCCTATTGCCCGGGGGCCCCATGAGTTGTCAGTCTGGCCCTGAGTAGCACCAACTACTACAGTGATTGTCAGCTTCCCTAGCAGCTCCTCAGGTATGACATATACATAAATACATTGGTCTAAGCTAGACCACTGCAAGTATGCAATAAAGATCCTACCTGGAGTTTTAGCTTTAAAGGGTAACTATAAGCAAAACATTTTTTTTAGTTTTGGACAGAGTGGAGATGGATTAGAACACCTGTTAGGTTTTTATTGCTTTATGTGCCCCTGTTAAGAATATTAACCCCCTCTATTTGTCCTGTTTACAGTTATCATTGAAAGTGAAAGTAAATGAAAAATTTGGGGATGTCCCCAGAAAAATAATAGAGGGGAAATCTTCCAATGGCGACATTGTTTCTCATGACCTGGGGGTCCCCAAGGGATTCCTTTAATTTGTAGCGCTTTCTTCTCACTTCCTGTTTTGGCTATGGGACAGGAAGTAAAGGTATATCTCCCCATTGGGACACCGATGGCAAAACAAAATTTGACTGGGGTCATAACCCTCCCCTACTCTATCCCACATGTGAAAAAAAATTGGATTCAGTTCTACTTTAAGTATACTGTCATTTAGTCTGTATGTGTTTATTTTTCTCATTTATGCAGTGCTGACAGCTGCATTTCTTTACATAGAGCATCAAACAATTCACATCAGTGCCTCTCCCAATGGTTTGTAATGTGCCAC